TATATCTTCAAGTAAGCGTAAATCGTGGTTGAAAATGGCTACTCGTGGTTGTGGTTGGTTGAAAATGTTTTCGTTGGAGAAATAATGTACCAACATGGAAGGAACTCATTCTTGAGAGGGAAAGATTAGTTTGAACCCTCAAAACCAATCTAATACAATCCATTCATGAATACCTCGAATGGAAATGCAGAGTGATCGACATAAATTAGAATAAATTCACATAAAAAGTGTTCCATTTAATATCTTATATTTGGAACCATGAATAGTAACCCTGGAACCCTGGTTGGTATTTCTCAACATCTTATCTTATGCATGTGTCGTTGTTGCAACTTTATTAAACTAAAATTTGTAAGTGCATCATGGATATGCATAATGGAAAATAGACAATCTTAGTGGAATAGTGATGAGGCAATAATGGAAACGACAACTACAGTACGTGATTGCTGCGTTGGATTCAACGTTCGACGAATCTCTCTGAGGTTTTGGTTAAATAAACGATGATTCAGCCAACTAAAATATCAAAATATTATTTTCCTTCGAATTATTTCCTCACCAAAACTGAACAAGTACGATAGGATTTAACAAGTTCTGCGATAACATCATTCAGAATTTTCTATTATGTAATCGAAAATTCAACATAGTTTGAGTGTGTTTTTGCTATCACTCTTCTTTCCAATGGAATCAAACATAAAAGTACAAAAAAAACATTAAATTAGTGTTCCGTGTTCTTTTTTTTCGTTAGAAGTTCCATATCAACATAAGACAAATTTAAAAAATATACATGCAAACCTCGTTTCAAATCAATTTTGTAGAATCAACTCAATTCTAACTGGAACAACTCAACGAGAATTAAATATCACATATCAGAATCTGATTATTGCTTAGAGCACAAGGAAGTTTATCCTTACATTCTGCTAAAATAATCACAAAAAAAGAATTATGTATTCTCTAAGACTGATTCACATACATGAAAAAGGATCTTATGATTTACAATCAATCTGTTATCTAAATTCTAAAGAACTTCTCAAACTATGACTAGAAATTTGTAGGCTTAGTTTGATGGTGGCCTTCTCAGAAGATCGACAAACATCAATGCACTCCTCTAAGTCAGCATCACAAGTGAGTAGTACCCACTCACTGTCATCATCCAAGTATTTCACATCAAATTTGCTCATTTCACTCACATTAAATCTCCTACCAATTTCCTGCACAAGATCTTCATAGCCCCAGTTCTTGGGCATCCGAAACCGAGCTTTTTCATCACCATATGTGACTTTTACTCTGTGTGCATCCACCTTGCTACTTGTTTTCAATAAGGGTCTTTCATACTGGTTTTTTGGGTGCTCACCAAGTGTTTCCTGGCTCAGTGATCTTGATAAGAGCTTTGCTTTATCCTCATTCAGGCTTTTAAGCTCTGCTTCGCTTCTGATCCTCTTCAGCGCAACATTTGCAGAATCTTCACCGGCCATGGTGGAATCTTTGTTACCTGCAATGTTGGTTGTGTGATGCTGCTGCTGTAGCTCTGACATGCTGGAGCAGGAATGGCTTGAAATGGAACTCTGACCGC